TTCGTATTTCTTAGGTAGATTACTATTTTTATGTTCTTTCTTAGCTGATAATTCAATCCCCTTATCTGATTAGTATGTTTAGGATTTTCTTTGCTTTTATGTGTTATCGATATCAGAACTAAATTCCGAACTGCCTTCCTCGTGAGATCGACCCGGGGAACGAATCTTTCGATTCGGTACTCGGTAAAAAAAATAATTTGTACACAACAGTCAGTTAAGTTTGAATAATAATTTAAGCTCGCTCAATAATCGAACGAACATTAACTCGTTCCCCAACAATAGTTTCATATGATTTTTTTGTTATATTTATATGCACAATATTTTTAATGGAAAAAAAATCTTAATTATGAAAAAAATATTTTCTTTTTCGAGTTTCGAACGAAAGATATTGAATTAACCAAATAATTTTTAATAATTATGTTAACTAGTTATTCAGAATACAAATAAAATTGAATTTTAATTAACAACTAAACAAAAAAACTCACAAATAACTTTTTATTGGAAAAATAAACGAACCAACATTAATATTATTCCCTTTTTTTTCTTTAATATTATTTCAACTTTTTTTTTTCAATTAATAACTTAAAAACTCAAAAGAGTATAATTAAAGTGTCATGACACACTGGAACCAGAAGACTGGACCAACTCCCTTCTCATCACACATAAGGGGTACGAACTCCATCAAGGAGGCAAACTACCACAAAACAAAATTCCAAAAAAGCAGACAAGTTGCACTGAAAGCAGACAAAGCTGCACTAAAAACAGACACTGCTGCACTAACAACCCAACAAAAACATAAAGATAAGAAAAACAACACACACCTAAAAACATATACTAATAATAAGACCTCCCCTACTCCTATCACGCAGAACACATAGCCCCCCGAACCAGCGCACAAGCCAAGAGAGGAGCAACTCGAAACCCTAGACCCAAAAGCTGCGACGAAACTTGAGCCACCTAGACATATTTGAGGAGGAGTAAGTTCTCGTTCAGATCTGGCCTTCATAGAACATCCGCACCGGAGAGACAAGGCACACGCGAAGGACGACCACGAAGAGACATACTACCGCCGCGAGATCGAGAAAGTAAGCTCAGCCTCTGTGAGCCTCCAACCAGAAACACGATAAGGTGGCCAAAGGGAGGACTCCCGGCCGGGCACGAGGTCGGAGTAGGAAAAACGGCACAACGACCCCAACCGGAGCCGACACAAGATCCAGGCCGCAGCAACTCCGGGAGCCTCTGCAAAATCGACCCACGCACGACTGAAATTGGGGCGGAAAGGCATCCTTCGACCTCGGCCATGCCCAAAACGGAGGGCTGATGCATGGTAGAAGGTAGGGGGTGACGTGAAAAGGGGATCTTGTTTGTTTTTTCTTTGGGAGAGAGAAAGGAGCTCGGAGGATATTTGTGGTGTCTTCTTGATTGTTTATGAAATAATTTTGTCAAAATGAGTTATTTTAGTTAATCGTAGTTAATTTTGAAAAATGTATATAGTTAGTTGTTAGTGGAATTTTAAGAATGCATTAAAATAATATTTAAAATAAATAATTAAAATTGATTTGATGTAAAAATAAGAGATAAATGATTTGAAATGATTGAAAATGATAGATTAGTTAAAATTTTGTGAATGAATTAATAGTGAATTAAAGTTGATGTGATATGTAAGAATGATTAGTTTATATTATTTAATTATATGAATAATATTATAAATAGCGGAATTGAGTTAAAGTTGAGTTAGATTTTGAGTTGAAATAAAAGTGAGTAAAGTAATTTGTAAACAATCAAATAGAAATGCTCAGGGGTTGATTGTTTACAAAATAATGTACTCACTTTTATTTCAATTCAAAATCTAACTCAACTTTAACTCAACCCCACTATCTTTAATATTATTCATATAATTAAATAATATAGTACAAACCAATCATTCTTACACATCATATCAACTTTAATTCACTATTCATCCACTCACATAATTTTAACTACCAATCATTTCCAATCATTTATCCCTTACTTTTACATCAAATCAATATTAATTATTTTATTTTAAATATTATTTTAATTCATTCTTAAAATTCCACTACAACTAACCATACAAACTTTTTCAAAATTAACTATAGTTAACCAAAATAATTCAGATTGAACAAATTATTTCATAAACAATCAAGCGCTCAACCTCTATTGATCCAATCAAGTTATGGCTACCAAAAATATGAAATCCATGATTTTTTATTATAAAAATATATTTTATTCGACCCAAAAAGTCATCCCAAAGCCAAATCACATTGCAAAAAGTGACTCCAATAATATAATTCCATGCTTTTCTTAACAAACCTCCTTGATTTCACATTACACTCATATACTATTCTTCTTCCCCATCAACCTTCTCCGTTTTCCTCTCGTGAATCCTAACCAGAAGCCATGGATTTTCTCATAATCCCCAATTTATCTCCTCATTATCACTGAACCCACACTCACACTCAACTCAATCCCAGCCCTAGAATCTTCACCTTTCCCCTCATGGGCAGCGGCAAGCAGCGATGGAAAATCTACTTCCACAAGTCGCCGTCGTCCTTGATGCTCCACAAGAAGCCGGCCCAGAACCCGAATCAACGCCCCGAACAGATTCCGGCCGAGTTTCTGTGCCCCATTTCGGGCTCGATCATGGCGGACCCCGTCATAGTCTCCTCCGGCCACACCTTCGAGCGGAGCTGCGTCCGCGCCTGTGTTGCTCTCTCATTCAGCCCCACTCTCCCCGACGGCGCCGTCTCGGATTTCTCCACCGTCATCCCCAACCTCGCTCTCAGGTCCGCCATCCTCAACTGGTGCCGGGACCATTTCGTCGCCCCTCCGGAGCCCATGGATCTCTGCTCCGCCGAGAAAATTGTGCGCCGCTTGGTCTCCAATCTTCCCGGGCGGGAGCTGAGTCAGCTGACCCGAACGCCGAGTGAGATTTCCGTCACCAGCTCGGAAGAATCCGTCACGCCGCGAAGCGGTTTCGTCGCTACTACCCCTCTTCCGTTGACGACTCGGCCTTCGTGCTACTCTTCATCCTCCTCCTGCGACATCGAGATCTCGAGTCCGAATTTCACAGAGGAGGAAGATATATTCGTGAAGCTGAGGAGCTCGCAGATACACGAGCAGGAGGAGGCGCTTTCCACACTCCGGAAACTGACCCGAACCCGAGAAGAGACCCGGATCCATCTCTGCACCCCGCGGCTGCTCGCGGCCCTTAAATCCCTAATTTGCTCCCGATATTCATCCCTGCAGGTCAATTCCGTGGCGGCACTGGTGAACCTTTCCCTAGAGAAACACAACAAGGTGAAGATCGTGCGGTCAGGAATCGTTCCCCTCCTGATCGACGTTCTCAGGGGCGGATTCCCTGAGTCGCGGGACCATGCAGCCGGCGCTCTTTTCAGCCTCTCCCTCGACAACCAGAACAAAACCGCCATAGGTGTTCTCGGGGCATTACCTCCACTCCTCCACGCTCTGCGCTCAGAATCCGAGCGGACTCGGCACGACTCTTCCCTGGCTCTGTACCATCTCTCTTTTGTGCAGAGTAACCGGGCCAAGATGATCAAACTTGGAGCTGTGCAGATTTTATTAACCATGGTCAAATCGGGTCACATGCTCAGCCGGGTCATGTTAATTCTCTGTAACTTGGCTGCAAGCCCCGAGGGGCGAGCAGCCATGCTCGACGGGGGTGCGGTGGAGTGTTTCGTGAGTTTACTGAGTCAGGGTGAGTTGAACTCGGTGGCTACTCGGGAAAGCTGTTTGGCTGCGATTTACGGGCTGAGCTATGGCGGGCTTAGGTTTAAGGGGCTGGCAAAGGAGGCCCGGGCAGAGGAAGTTTTGAGGGAGGAGTTGGAGAAGAATGCGAACGAGCAATGTAGAGAGAAGGTGAAGAGAATATTGGAGGTTCTAACTGAGAAGCATGAGGAAGAAGAAGATGTTAATTGGGAGGAATTGCTTAGTTTGAATGATGATGATTTGAGTAGGACCGACAGTCGGGTCTCTCGGAGGACTGGGTCTAGTTCTGGTTGATTTTTTTTGATGTGGTTTGTGTTGATCAGACTTAAGCAAGAGTTTGGTTTTTTTTTCTTGAAAATGAATTTAATGGCCTTTTGCAAAGTTTTGGTTCTTGTTGGTCATATTTATACTCTTTTGCAAATTTGGACGATTAGGATGATGATGGATAGAGAAGTGTAAATATTTTCTATTTTTCTCAATTGAGTGTGGATAGTTTGGTTTCATATGGCACTTTACTAGATTATTTGGACATGTTTTGTGAGTTGTATTCAAGTGAGCACCCTTTATATCTGGTTTTACCACTTGGTGTATACAATGGTGAATGTGATTGCTGTTCAATGAAATTGCTGGACTTTGAAGTTTCATTTCTTTCGCTCAACTTTGGCTGATTAGTCCGATGAAAATGTTTAGCTGTAGCTGTTTTTCTTAATATTTGAAGTACACTAACAGCTCTCTTGAGTCTTGAGTAGGTTTGCAGCCTTGAAGCAATCAACGAAGCTATGTTCTTGTGAAATTGTGATGGTGCCGAAGCAATCTTTCAAAGCTTTGTAAGCTTTCTTTCTGAAGTGAAGGTTCTTGTCAAGAATCCTTTTGAATTTATACATCATTTTGTTTAGATCACTGGCCAGCTTATTGTCTAGTTCTAGTTGAAACACCACTATTCTGTGATTATTACTGGCAATTTTCTTCATGTGATGAATCTATTTATTCTTTTTAAACAGGAATCCATTTTGATTTGGAAGGTGCACGTGTTTTACAGTTCAGACATTAAACTCTATCAATAAACCTCGACTGAAAATGTCATTGCCTTCGGTTATTCCTACAGACGGTCTATTGAAAATGCAGACAAATGTGGAATCTTATGGTAAATTACTCTTATAGTTTCCTTAATTGTGCCTCAATATTTTGGAGATATTGCAAATAGAGAATATGTTATATGTTAGTTTCATATGTATGACAGAACCAACTATTAAGTGCATTGTAGCATAATTTTTTGCTGGGAAATTAGTTCTCAGATACACATTCTTGTAAAATTGCTCTTCCAATTTTGTAGCTTTTTTCTTTTTGACTTAAGAGTTATGCACCATCAAGTTTGTATTTTACAAAGTTCCATAAAAATGCCTATATGTTTTCATTGGCACAATGATTTTTCATGTGATAGTTAAGATGGGTCAACTTTTCATACTATTTGAACAAAAATATATTTTTATACTATTAAATGTCAACCTTTTGTCTATATTTTTTCCTATGGCTATAGTTTTTAATATCATGTTCAATTGTTGAACATGATATTAATTATAAAATTTTTAAAATTATATATAGAGTATTTATCATATAATATAAATATAAATAAAAGTAACAAAATTAAATGGCTTGTGTATAAAATTTGTACATTAAAGTGTTAATAATATGTATCTCATGATAATATTCACCGTATAAATATATATACATAGTTTTATTTAAAAAAAATAATAAATAATAAAAAAATTTTAAAAAATATATATGGGCTGTCAACCGGGTTGACCTGATCGGGTCAAGTCCGGGTTGACCGATTTTTGACCGGGTCATTTGTTGCTCGATTTAAATAACCCATCTGGACCGGTTCTGGATCCGGGTTGACCCGTCGGGCCGGTCCAGGTCAAAAAAGTATGCTTATGATATATACTTCCTCCTTTCTTAAATAAATGTCGTTTTGACTTTTTTGATTCATCCATTTTGCTATGTATCTATACATATTAATGTCTAGATACATAGCAAAATGGATGAATCAAAAAAGTCAAAACGACATTTATTTAAAAAAGGAGGTAGTATTATTTAGTATTGTATTTAGAAGAAATGTGATCTGATAAATTATTTATTAAATGTCTGTACTTTTGAGTCCATCATATTTGTAGTTAGTATTTGCTTAATAGCACCCTTCAAAAGTTGCAATTTTGTTTTAAACACACACACACAGCAAAACAACTACAATTTCAGAAAGAATGTAATAACATCTATTCTTTTCTCCTTATCATAACTAATCAATTTTTATAACCTTCGTAATTCAATGTTTATGAAAGAACCCTCCACAAAAAAAGTTGCCCTCCAAACCTCTTAGCTATAACCGAACAAATCTGGAAAACCAAAAAGAGTATTATCAACACGAATCAGATCACATTTCTTTCTGGGAAAGCCGCTTAGAAGATCTCGTTCGAATGTCTTTAGTGTATATGCTCGTAAGGGCGAAAAGCAGTAGAACAAACACAACTTGAGCACTCATAATCCCGAAATGGCTTATGCTGTTGCCGATTTCCATCCAGCTTCCTGTATTTTGAACCTGTAACAATGCATTTTTTTTTTCTTCAGAAATGAATATCCCTAAATTTTATAACAACATTAAACAGGAAAAAGAAAAAGGCAATACCAGGAAGAAAAAGTGAATCGTCATCACGTCTGAACAAATAATGACAAGAAAGTAGCATCCCCAAAGCGGTACTCTGATTAATCTCGTGATTGCTGTAAATGTGCATCTGTATTTGAAATTCAAAATTCATGTAGTTAATAAGTTATCAATTAGATTAACTTATGATCACTAGATTATAAGTAGGAATAATAATTTATTCACTTACATGACAAGCACAAATGGTATCAAAAGTTTGAAAATGAGTAGGGCTGCCATCAGAAATGGCTGCAGGCAAAGGCAATGGCAAATATTCTGAAGTTAGCACCCAAGATAAATACAAAAAAAAAAAAAAAAAAAACACTTAAATGGATATTTTTTTTGTATATGCTCACGCTGAAGATTGTGATGAATCGATAAACAGAAGATATCTCAAAACTAGCAATGCTAGCAAAGTTTCCGGTTCCGAAGAATGCAATATTGAAGAAGACCATCTGCAAACAGAAATATATACGGAACGAAAATATCAATTTACTTACTGGAGTTCTTGAAAAAAAACTATATATATTAAAAACGAAATGTTTATTACTCACAAATGCTAAAGGAATTCTCATATCAGATAACTGCAGGCACCTATCATTGGCGGCAAAGGCAAGGTTTTCATAGCTCTCAATAGAACTCGAAGATTTATTAGCCTTGTTTGTATATAGGCCAATGTTCTCGAAAAGTATCCATGCCATAAGTGCAAGACCAAGAGCACCATAAAATGCAGCTTCATATCTGCACCAATATAAGAAGGCATTTGTTCAGCAAATCTCTATGTTGCCCCTACCGTGTAGTTTTAGATATGAGAGAGTACCCTATTGACAGCAAAAGGAATGCGGGTGCAAAACCGAGATATATGGAAGTTAGCCTAGACAAGAGACTAGTTGCTGAAAAAAGTGGGAGTACCAGTGATAAACCTATAGAAGACAACAAAACAATATATAATTTAAACTCGAGTAACAAAAAGCAAGTTCAGAACGAGAATAAAGAAAAAACGAGGCACAAATTACCAGCAATTAACCAATTTATCACTTGGTGGAGTGCAAGCAGTTCTTGCTTTTCTGTTCTACGAGAGGTTGATAGAGATACCATAAGTGATGAAAGGACAACTAGTAAGGCCTGTTAAATTGCAGGGAAATTTCAGAACTAGATATTCAGAAGATAAAAATTAAAAATTACTTCAGGCAATATGAATCGACTAATTGTGCAGATAACCTGAAGCAAGAAAAGGATATGGTATTTAGATTTCGTCTTTTCTTGAGTTAGAGAAAACCAGTATTTGCTGTCTGCAACATACGAATCCACATATCTTGCTGCTACTCCAATTATCACAATCATAAATCCACCGAAAATACTACGGGAAAAAAAAAAAAAATAGTAATAAGTTAGTCAAAGTAATCCAATGTTACCAAGAGGCAATCACTATAAAAATCATGACATAATTCGACAATTTTGGAAAAAAAAAACGAAAATAAACTTACACAAGGTTAGTATTATCCGGAATTTCAGCTGGCATCATTGTAAAAATGGACAAAAACCAACATGCTAGCCATACAAAAACTGGTATTCCTGAGTTCAATGCTATAGAGTAAAGAAGATAAACAGTAGCAATAACCCCAACAAGCAAGAAACTCCAAGTATAGATCTTCCTGTCAGTGAAGCTTTTCACCTGCATTACAAAACAAGTTAGAATGAAATTCAGAAAAGCTCAAATGAACTTGGATATTTGAAGGATATAAATGAACAAATGTTTGACTCACCAATATCTCAAGAATGAGAAGTGATATAATAGAACTAGCAAAAAGTTTCACAAAGTAACTAATTTCATGTCCAAGCATGTATCTCCATAGTGCTTTCAAGAACTGATATTCACAGAAGATTTGAATCCAAAGGAATATCGTCATTCCAAAATATGCATGGTACAGAGGAGGAGAATGTTCCATCAGCAGAATAGTACACACTAATCCAATCAGGAGGCATCCATAGACATAAACCTGTGGAAAAAGAATAAACTGATTTATTAATATTATCCAGTACATAAGCAGAAAACAGTTGGACCCTTAATCAAATTGTTTGTTACCTTCCCTGTGTTCGTTCTAAGGTAAACCGATTGGTCCTTATTGAAAATTTTTCCAGGTATTGTGGTATAAGATTGCAAAACATGAATTATCAGATAGATCATCCATCCAATATAGCCGAGTGGAATTACTGTCATGAGCATGAACCAATCATAGGTTTGAAAATAGTGAAGCCCTTCTAGTGCCAAGCTTCGAAGATTTTCGGATAGCATTTTTGCAGCCTTGTAGTCCTTAATAGACAGTAGATGCTCAATTTGATCCAAAACCAAAGTGTAATTAGATAAGGGTTTGAAAGGCTTGAAATATAATGAATTCGACTGCTTCATATCTTACAACAGTATAGGAAAATTGCGCTCGATTCAATTCACAGATGTAGTTTGAAAAAAGGTGGATAACCAAATTTAGCTAAATTTGAGAGTGTAAAATTGAGGAACTCTGACTTAAAAAGAGTTTTTCTCTGAACGGCATGAGTTGGTTAAACTCCATCCATGAAACTTGAAGTTCGGAAATTTCCAACCGAAATTCAACAAATTAATTAATCACATTTCAAAATTAGAACAGCGTCTCAGTGAAAAGGATACGTGATTTCTGAAGAAATTGATTGAGGATTTGCTTCGTGTTAGCCAGAACAGCTTCTACTTCTTCAACCTGGTACACATTTTATTCACTTCATCACTTAATTTACCAACATCACGTGACATGGAAAATTGCTAACTGAAGCCATAAAGAAACTAAAGAAATTAACGCAATCAGGTTGAAATTAACATACTCACCTTATTGAAATTAACATACTCAAGTGGCAAGTTTCCAACTGAGTTAACTGGACTCGGCAAACCTAGAAGGGTTGACTGTAAAAAGATTAAAATGAAATTATTAGTTAGAAATAGGAAGAGCAATCTAATCGCAATTTATGTAAAGATAAAGAGTTTTAAAAGTTAAAAATAAATTATACAACCATCAAAGGTGCAATATCAGCTTGATTCACATCCATTCTCTGTAAATCATCAAGACCCCAATCTGATGGTGTGGCCAAGTCATGTGCGTGGTCATCAACAAACCGAGCATTATCATTATGGTTATGATTGTCCGAAATCGGAACAGGCTGCCCAACACCAGCTCCCCAAGCAACGAGAGGAGTATCTGTGTTTGAAGGATGCCCATCTCCATGACTTCCTGACAAGAAAGAACAGCTTATCAGCATGATAAATCCCCGTGCATATATGAATCTTGCTTTTGAACAATAAAATATGATTGAGAAATAGGCGTGCTACACCTTTATCGCTCATCCCATGATCGGCTGTGAACACATATGCTGTCAAATTGTCCTTGAAATAACTCTGGACAAGATTATAAACTCTTTCAGCAATATGATCAACAACCTTAACGTTATTGAGATAGACAGGTGAATAGGGCCGATGAGCGTGACCATTTGAGTCACAACCAAGAAGGTGCAAGAATATGACGATGTTATCTTGTTGAAGAAGATGCTTTAACTTTGTATCATCATTGGACCTGTTCAGAAGGCTCTGAAATTGATCGAGCGACCACTCATCCAAAAACGAAGCATCTAAATGGACATGAGATCATCAAAGATCATGCAAAAACCATCATTAAGAGCGTATACAACATTCGGTAAAGAGAAAATATAGTAAAGTAAACTAACCAGTTGCAAAATCTTCATACTCATGTGGATAGGACTTCCATGTGCTGTGTGGCAAAGCACCACAAAATATAGGAATAATGTCCGGGCTGCCAAATGCAAATGTATGCCGACTCCTATTGAACACCGAGTCAAACTCAACGGGGTTTGCTTTCCACCCTATGATAAAAACAGCATTCAGTAACTGGAATATAAATTTATGACCCAGAAAAGAGTCATTTCTACCCTACAACAGAATAACAGCATTATGTGACAAAAGATAGAAATTACTACGGACTATGGAGTACAGAAAGGAACCTGCCTATTTCTATCTTTAAGACTCGATATCGGATTACTCCATTCGTGCCAAGTGAACCCTTTTACCTTACATGACATTAATTCATTCTACACTAATAAATGTAGTCTCTTTGTACCAAAAAAAAAAAAATAATTGTACCAAAAAAATAAATAAATGTAGTCTCTCAACAAAATCTTGTCAAATTACCAACCTTTAGTAACAGCACTAGGATCTTCGTAAAATCCAGCAATAATGGCAACATGACCAGGTCTCGACTCAGTGGGAGGCCGCGCGTGGGACACTCCCCAACGGCCACGCTCCTTAATCACACTCCTCAAAAACGGCGCCCTGTAATTCCCACTCGAATCGGGCTCGAAGAACTTGTCCGCCCTTAAACCATCAGCTGCAACAAAGAAAAAACCGAAACATACTCGTTTTTTAGTCAATTCAACAAACACGTTGAGTGCGAGGTGTAAAATTTCCACATGAAAACAGACGAATCAGTTACCAACGAGGAGAAGGAGGCGCTTGGCGGGAGCGGCGAACCGGGGCTCGACGGGGTCCATGCCATGGACGATTGGGGTCTTGAAGTAAATATCAAAAATGCTTAGCATGTAAGCTGCGTGGAGCAGTACACCGAGAATCACCAGCCATTTTTCTCGTCTTCTCAAGAACAGAGTTCGGATTCTTAGATTGCTTGTGCCAGGTGATCTGATGTTGCCTTTTACGCCTAAAATGCCGTCGCCTCCCCACATTGGTTTGTTTTTTTTNNTTTTTTTTTTTTTTTTGAACGAAGCTAAGGGAAAATCAATGGCGTCTGGATCTTGGGAATTAAATTTTCTTTACCTCGAACGTGGGAGACTGAGAAAACAACTCGAACACAAGCAACGATCCGGGTCTCGGGTAAGAAGATCCGGGTCTCGGGTAAGAGTCAAAATTCGTTGAGCTACCCGCTGCAACACATGGCAAAACAAGCTTTGATAAGTAATAATTTTTTTTTTTATTAAACTTTTATTTATAGATAAAAAAATGTATATAACTATAAAAGTAAAAAAAAACCCAATATGTGAATAAGGCAATTTTTCTATGAACTCAACATTTCCTCTATAAAAGACCAACCTTCTATATTAGCAAGTAAATTATACTATATTCTTTGATTAGTTAAATAATACTTATATTTTTTATTAATATGATATGGTTTAATTGTTGTATATAGAAAACTAACCTATAATGAGAGGATAGATTATTGCCTAGAAACTAGGCTACACTCAGGGGCGGATACTGGTATAGGCGAGCCTAGGCAATTGCCTAGGCTCAATTTTGGTGCTAATATAGTTAATATGTGTTAATAAAAAATTTATATTTAATATGTGTAAAAATTATAAATATAAGTTTTTATTTTAAAATTTTAAATAATTTTTATAAAATAACATTATTATTTCTATTTAAGTTGATATACCTCACCGGCCAGATTCGAGGATGTTACATTATAACTTCTTTAGTACTTATGACATATAATAAGCTTGATAGATAAATTTATGTTTTTTTCAATTATAATTGATAAATATTTAAATTTTTATGGATAGAGATCATATAGGTATAATTATTTTAATTTACCTATAAAATATGAATTTTAAATTATATATTATCAAAATATGACTAATTTAAGTTATGATATATAAAAAAAATGATAATATATACAAATGTTATTGGATTTTAAAATATGTTTACAATATAAGCGTTTAAATTTAAAATATGTTTACAATATAACTTACTCAAACCATTAATGCTCCAAGTAAATTTTATACAAAAGAATCAAAATCTATGTCCCTCACCAACTCCCTCTCATCTTCTAATGGAACACAAATACTGTAAAAATCTATATAAAACTGGACACATATGTTCTTTATCACTGTGTAACACAATACATTTTACAAACACACAAGAGTTCAAAGACCCCAAAAAAATAAAAATAAAAAAATATCACCACCCAATGATTAATTAAATTGTTCTCTATTTAACTCACCTGCTCCCCAATCAAATCCAATCCCATCACCAAAAATGACAGCCCTTGAAACAGTAAATAGTAAAAATGAATCCCCTGAGCCGACAGTAAACTCCTGGCGGCAGCCGTGAGCAAGAGGAATGCAAGCGCTAGCTCTTTTCGGTAAATCCTATTTTTCTTCTTCTTCAAAGCCGGGCCCTTTTGCTCCTTCTGCTCGGTTAACTTCCCGAGCATTTCCAATCCAGATTCCGAAGGCCTTCTCTGGATTTTCTCCTCGTTCAGATTTTTCGATTCCCTTTCTGCAAGGCTCAGCAAGTCGGACTCAGAAGCCCGGCCCGTTTTCTTTGTCACGACCCATTCGTAAGCACTCCCGAGCTGGAAAAGGCCCGAGACCATTGCATTGAATTTCGTGACGGACATTGTGTTTTCAAAGAGTAAGTATGGCATTAAGAAAGGGAATGATTTTGGTGAGGGAAGTATATTGAGGATCGACATGGTAATTGGCACGTAACAAATGACCCATGAAGGAAGCTCAGCTTCGGGTATGAACATGGTGAGTGGGAGGATTATGCAGAAGAGTGTGAATGAGTAGAAAGGAAGGATGAGTTTCCTAAGGAGAAAGAATAGGAATATCAAATTTGCTTTCTTCCATGCCGAGATCTGTGGGAAAATAACGGGAGATTCGAATTTTAGTCATAAAACTAGTTGAGAGCATCAATTGTTGAGCAGTTTATAAGCAGAATTTCATTTTTGTTCAGGAGTGTTGAACAAAAGTGGTATTTTTGCCAAGAGAAAGTGAAAAGGTTACAATTTTTTGCAACTTTCCCTTCATTGAAATGGCTTTATTCATTGATCAAGAATGATAATACCTAACCAGAAACTAGAAACATGCATTTGAAAACAAAAACAAAAACAAAAACAAAAACAAATTCAAGTGCACACAAGAATACAAAAGGAAAATGAGAATTTCATTTTTGTTTATGAGTATTGACCAAAAAAACACTACCGACTGATATTACCCGCCGTAAAAGTGGTATTCTTGCCAAGAGAAAGTGAAAAAGGTTGCAGTTTTGCAAACTTTCCCTACATTGAAATGGTTTTCGACTTTTTTCAGTAATCAAGAATGATAATCCCTACCCAGAAACCACAATCATGTATCTGAAAAAAACAAATTCAAGTGCTCACAAGAAAACAAAAGGTTTATGAGTGTTGACCAAAACACTACCGACCGATATTACGGCCGTAAAAGAGGTATATTTGCCAAGAAAGTGAAAAGTTTGCATTTTTGCAACTTTCACTACATTGAAATGGTTTTTTCAGTGATCAAGAATGATAATCCCTAGCCACAAACCACAATCACTTATTTGGAAAAAAATATGAAGTGCCCACAAGGAAACAAAAGGAAAATGAACAAATATATATACCTTAGAGGTTAAAATTGCAGGTAAGCACAATCTGAATAGTTGCATAGGACCTGAATGCCAACGATGCTGCTGTTTCTTGTACGCCTCATAAGATTCCGGCAGCTCACAAAGAACCTCAACATCATTAAGGAAAATGAATTTCCACCCGTGCAAGTGGGCCCGGACAGCTATATCCATGTCCTCGACAGTTGTCCTTTCCAGCCAGCCACCGGACTCTTCCAAGGCCTCGATTCGCCACACGCCAGCTGTCCCATTGAACCCGAAGAAATTTAAGAAATGCCCATTCACCTGCTGCTCGACCTCAAAATGGAAGCACAGATTGATGTTCTGTAGCCTCGTCAGCAAATTCTCATCCTTGTTGACAAACGACCAACGAGCCTGGACGAGTGCTACATCGGGTTTTCCCTGGAATTTAAGAAAAGTTGGTGAAATAATGTAATCTCTACTAAGGCTTTATGTTTGAAAAATCTAGCTGATGAGCCAGCTTATAGCTTTTAAGTGAATTTCGAACTTAAAGCTAATAGTTTATGACTTATGGCTGAAAAGCTAGCTTATATCATAAAAGTGTTTGAAATAAAAAATTCAATGGGTTTATTTGAAAAACTACCAAAGAGAAGCTTATGAGGTAAGCTCGAGCTCTTTAAAAAGGCCCGCCCTACCAAACCAAGTTTAGTTGAATAAGCTAATCAAAAGTTTATATGCTTACCAAACACTACCTAAAGTAAATTCCTTTTCATCTTTTTTTCCCGCTAAATGTGGACAAATTTTACGAATGCCTATCACACAGTGACAATTTTGGCTCGACTTGGAGAAAACGAGGATTGTTTATTACCTTAAAATGAGGCACGGTGAGTTTGAGGAAATCAGGGTTGGGCTGGAAATCGGCATCTAATATGGCGACAAATTCGTAGTCCTTTACATAGTCACAGGCCATTGCCGATTTGAGGTTGCCTGCTTTGTAACCGGTTCGGATAAACCTGTGCCTGTAAACTATATTGACCCCTTTTTCTTTCCAGGACATGACCTCATCTCTTATCAAGTGCTGTAAAAGTTCATCATCTGAATCATCCAAAACTTGCACTAGAAACCTGTCTTTGGGCCAATCCAGCTGGCAAGCAGCAGCTATCGATTGCTCGTAAACCTTTAAAGAGAAAACAAACACAACACACACAAAAAGGAGAAGAAAATCAGAATAAAAGTGAAAAAGAAGCAAACGTGGCCTGTAGGCTCAAGTATGAGGAATGCAAAGAATTTACTATATATAGTTACAATATGTCAATATCCATTCAGTCACATAAATCTACCCAAGGCTTAAAATTATCTCAAAATAATTAATTTTTCAGCATATCAAATACTATTGAGGTTTACATTTTCCTGAAAAAACAAAAAGTAATCTGCTACTATATATATAAAATAGAAACAAGTGTCAAGAACATATTTGTAATCAACCATATAACTGTTTTCTTTCATTTTTCACTAAAGCTAAAGCTTTTCTAAATTAGTCCTAGATTGACAGATAACACACAAAATCTCTGTTTGGTCAGAGGTATTCAATACCATAATCCTCATATGCAAGTTTCAATCATGTCGACCCGTCTAACGGTTAGTCCCACCTCACGCGATAAATCGTACTTAGCCAATTAGAACAATAAAAAAAAGCCATTTTTTTATTTGTGACATTCTAAAAATTACCTCCTTCTCATTGCACATAGGGATCTGAACAAGAACCATCGGAAAACCCGACCCGTCCTCCAAATCTCCCGACCCGAACTCATCGGCAACGGACCTCAGCCCCTTCAACTTGATCCAAAAACACCCAAAACACTGCAAAAACCTATCCAGCGATTGGATCATGAACAGCACGACACAGAATCTCGAGAGAGCCACGATACACGGCGCCACGTAATCGGCCCTGAAGCCCAGCCAGCTCACGTACGCCCACCGCACCAGATTATCGCTCACCTCCCACGGGCGGCTCGCGAACCCTAAATCCCAATCGCTGAAATAGGCGAAGGTCTCGAACGCCAGCCCAATCACCGACACGGCGAGGAACGCCTTTATGAAGGCGTACAGCCGCCCTCTGTACCTCGGGTCCTCCTCGCTCGGATCCGACGTGGCAATGCGCTTTCGGATTGACCCGAATACCCCGAACAGGCTCGATACGACCCGGTGGGCTTTCAGGAGGAGGACCCGGGCGAACCATTTCGGGCTCGCGGCCTTCTTCTTCTGGCTCTCGTGGAAAACCGGATCGGGTCCTTCCGGGCCGGGTGCCTCGATCAGCGAGATGTTCTCGGGCTTCTCGAGCGTGATTACCACCGTGTTTGGGGCCATGAATTTTTCGGGAGATGGGTTCGATTGGGTGGAAAATTTATAGGATTTGGGGAAAAGGAGGGTAAAAAAATGAAGTTTTTGGTGAGGTCAGGACATGGTTATCAATGGCGGAAAACAGAAAAGACAGCTCCTTTTTTGGATGAAGTTACAGTTACACTACTAAAATCTGGATCTCAAACAAGAAAAAAAAAAAAAAAAGATGGGCTCTGCAGAAATTCAGTTCCAGAGAGAGAGAGAGAGAGGGAGAGGGGATATGCTTGTGGGAGCTAATAAAGAAGCTGGAAAATGTAGATTACAGGCTCCATTGTCAGTGGTGAGGCAGAGAGAAGAAGGTTCAGGTGAATAATTTTAATCACACTCTAATTGGAAAGAGTGTGGTGCGTATGTATGTGTGTGTGTGTTTCTTGTTTTGTTGGGTTTTGTTTTGAAAATCAATCAAACCTCAAACATATTCATATGGGGTGCTTGCTGGGAGAGGAAAGTTCACAACATTCACCACTCAGAAGAGAAAAAAAGATAAAGGATTGTCGGTGTCAATTAACAAGCAGTTAGTGACAACTAATTACAGCCCAAACGAGGATATATTTGTATATACATTTTCTTTTACCTAAAGCCCAGTTGTGTTGAAGCTTCGTGTCTTGTCTGGTCTGATGACCTGTAATCCGTGTTCCGTGTTGTGCTGCGTGCTTTTTTCCTCTTTTGTTAGTGTTCTTTCCCATAATTTATTGCAAGGAAGACGTTTAGTTATTATTATTGCAAGAGTTTAAACAAAATGAGTCGTTCTTAAACTCGATTTACTAGTTCAAACTTTTTTATCGGTATATTTATTCAACGAGTTGAGTTTGACTCGACTCGAGATATTTTTTGAGCTTCGAGTACATAAGCTTGAAAACGGTGAAGTCTGATTGCAACAATAGTTGTAATCTTCCTTTCTTGGATGCACTTGTTGGTTATAAAACAAAATTGAATTAATTTGATTTATCTTAGATTATGTTTGGTAAAATTAACTGATAATTTTTGAGATTATAGCTTATGACTTATACTGAAAAACATTTTATATGATAAAAATGTTCGATAAAATTAGTTAATAAGCTAGTTGAAATAAAAATTTCAACGAGTTTATTTAAAAAGCTAACTAACTTCAATTATTTGGTTTGATTCACCCAAACTCATATAACACTGTTTTCATAGTGTTTAACTCTTGATTTATGCACATATGCACACCTATATGAATGTGTGTAAAATCATTTGTTAGAAAGTCCATTGGATTGGAATTGGCATATATTTGGAGTTATTTTACATATTTTACACTTTCTGATTTTTTTATCTGTAAATTACGATATCTAGGGGTGAGCAACAGTTTGGTTCGGTCAAAAATCACATCCAAACGTACAGAAACGAACCTAGCAAAAAATAACCGAACCGCACCTAACATAGAAAAAAAAAAAAAGAACCAAAATTTTTTACACAAAAAAATGGAACCGAACTGCACCAAAATGCACAGTTCGGTTCAGTTTTCAATTTTAAATCAATTTTTCTATACATTTTATGCAATTTGGTGTGGTTCGATGCAAACTCGCACCGAACCGAACAAAATCGAAAACTTGACTTATGAAAAATTATAACCGCACTGCGAATGTAGGAAAAAATTGATCGAAACCGAACCAAAAATTTTTTACATTAAAAAAACAGAACCGAACCCCCTGAATTGCACGGTTCGACTCGGTTTTCAGTTGCGTCTCGATTTTGCTCACCCATAACGATATCAAAATAAGACTATATGTAAACTAGTTAAATTAAAAAGAATATAATTTAAAATATTAACGAAAAATAAACAACTTCCTATAAATGTAGAAATAAAATAAGACTTGAAAGCAAATGGTGTAATTTTTTCTATACTCTGAATTGAATGTTGTGGCCCGCGATTTTGACATTTCACCTCTTTTTGTTGAACAAAAGTGTTATTTTTTAACAAATAGATGTAGACACAGATGTGAATATATGTGTTCATAATGTTGTCTTTTCTTTGAATTAATTATATCAACACCAACATCAAACCTTAATACAACGTTTATTCAGACTCGGTGAAAAAAAAAAGGACATTTTTTTTAAAAATTTTCAAAGTTATATAAGTCATTATTGGAAAATGCAACGGTCTCATTACGAAATCATTCCGTCGGGGTTTGTAACCTTTAGATCAGTATGTAACCGCGGGTATAATTGATCTAACGATTACAAACTCCAACAGAATTGTTCCATAACGGAACCGTAGCATCTCCCGTCATTATTATCAAAGAGTTTTAGCTTTTTAGGCATATGAAGACCAAAAAGTCTTCATGCTTCAGCCACATGATCTAAGAAGTTTCAATCATTTTTATGGTTTATTCGAGCAACTCATTGATTAATGTAGAAATAATTTAGTAACACTTATGTTTATGAAACAAAGGAACTGGCCAGTTGTAGAAATTTTGGAAATATAATGATTGGAAAAAAATTTCCATAAGTTAAAATTTTGCACAGAAAAATGGTCAGCATCCAGATTTGAACACACACAATTAAAGTCATTGAAAAGTAGATAACTTATCAAATAATCGTGGAAAGGAAGTTCCTATAAATTGGGGTTTTCTTTTGTTTTTATCAAATTTGAATATCCAATTTCACAATCATAAAATATAATTACTTACTAAATAGGGAGATTCTACGGTTCCGGATAATTCCGTCGAGGTTTGTACGTAACCGCTAGATCAACTATCCACAACTGTTACATAATCATCTAACGATTATAAATTCCGACGCAATGGTTCCGTAATAGGACTGTAGCATTTCTATACTAAATAATTAAATTATGTGAATCAGTGGTTGTTTTCTATATATTATGTTTGGTATTCAATATTTATTAATTAGTGTGCATTTAAAAATAGTTGAAATTTTTATTGATCTATCCAATTTTTTTGGGCATATTCGATAATTTTGAAGTTTCTTTTATTTTCTCTTTGTGTGTGTGTGTGTAAGATTCAAAGATTGTGATATAAAAAAATAAAATTCTTATTATTATTAACAGTGAGATTAATTGAATTTGATTCACAAATGTTAGGTCTGATTTATATTTGGTTTTCATATTTTGCACCGTTCACGCAATTATTGACTCCTCATGAAACTAAAATTTAAAACAAGCAGATTTTTTCTTTCAAAACGTTTTTTAAAATAGCAGGTATCCTCTATTCACGGTGGTCACATGTTAATATGTCAATCGTAGGTAGAGGAACATTATCCGCCTACACAGGATATCCAATTACACGAATTATTAATTAATTATTAATTATCCAACTAAACCAATCTTATTATAATCGGTCTATGGTGTTTTTTTTTTTTTTAAATAAAAAAATAAAAAAATAAATAATCAGTCTATGGTGTTTGTCTGGTTAATGAAATCAGTTGTCCAAATAAAAATTGCATAGAAATTCATACTTAAAAACAACACAATGGAACTAAATATTTATCTCTTTTGAAATATATAACATTTTATATTTATTCTTTTATTCTACTAGACCTAATTCTTTTTATTATTATTAGTTTTATTTATTTAATTAAAATACCAAAAAAAAGGACAAAAAACAGGTTTATGGAGGGCTGATAGCGATGCACCCCACCCACCAACCAATGGGCCAAGACCCATAAGAGCCCACCATCACTGTTTTCTAGCCCACATGCGGCCAATTTTTGCCCATTAAGAAACATCATACGCTGAGCTATCCTATTCTTGGGCTGTCTCAATAACAAAAATTATTTTTACAATAATGCTAATCCAATAAATTATGAAATTAATTTTACTAATCTCTGCCTAACACCAATAGCTAATTAAGAATACGAAAGATACACAGTGCATTAATAGCCACGTGGCGTGGTTGATTAGAGGGAGCATCGATTCATAGGCCTTGTTTGGTAGTCAGCGGTTAGCTGTTAGCTGTTAGCGGATTGTGAAAGCTGTTTTGACCAGCGGATTGTGCTAGCTGTTTTGACCAGCGGTTAATTTTAGCGGTTTTGTAAATTATTGTTTGGTAAAATTAGCGGATTGATTTTGAAAAATATATTTGACACTTTAGTTTGATAAAATGATTTATATAAATAATTCTAAAGTATTATACATCAATTATACTTATAATTATATTTAGCAAAAAAAAAAAAGTTATATGATTAAGTAATTTTAATTAAGGGACGTATCTATTAAAAAGTAAGGAAAAAATAAAAAAATTAAAATATTAAAAGTAGGAAATATGAATTACTATTAAATATTAAATTGATGTTTGAAAAACAAATACAAATTAATTAATGAGATTAGTTTTCAAGTAAAATAACTCAAGAAATAGAAAATGCTCACTTGTTCTCATTAATTAGGCCAATAAATATTTTATTAATACAAACGCTATTGGAAAACACTCCCTTCCATAGTGTTTCCATTTTGGCTGTTTCATAGAAAAAGCTGAAAGAAAAAAGCTATGCAACCAAACATCCAGTTAACATTATTCTGGCGTTTTTAGCTTGGTCAAATCTGCTAAAATAGCGGTTTGGCCAAAAACGCCAAAAAACAAACATGCCCATAATCCTAGCAGCATGCCAGCATCTCCTCCACATGCACTGTTTTTTAGCCTATTATTATTATTTTTTGCTTTCTAAATTTATATAATTAACAATTTTGTCTTCATTATTAATTGCCTAATGCTTAGTTAAAGAACAAAAATAAATAAATAAATAAATAATATACCTTTGAGGAGATTAAGAATATACCTTTGAGGAGACTAAGGTTTTATGAATGTTTATTTCAATTTTCAAGCATGCTGGGTGTTTTTAACAGAAGAGTTGTTCTTCTGGGTTAAATATTACAGTAATCCACTGTCAAATGTTCATTTTCCTAGTCATTTTAGCATAAAGATTCAAATCATGCAAAAATGTCATTTAAATGATTCTTTCATAACTCGAGCAACTCAACAAATAACCTAAGAAGCAAGTATACCTCATCGAGGGCCACATACTCGAATCATGTATGTATTCGTATTCGATACTCCATTCAATTATCCATATACGTGGATATCAATATATTCGGTAAGCTATATGACTTAACCGTTAGCTAGCTCTACATTTTAAACAAATATAGGTCATGATGATCTAACGGTTACAAATCCCGATGGAATGATTCCGTAACGGGACCGTGTTTAGTCAGAATCGGAAAAATAGTAGAAATACGTATGCATTTTTCGTTGAAAAAGTATGACAGGTTGACCGGCAAATGGTAAGGCTCCTAGGAACCCATCTTTAACTTGGGTTAAAGACCTCCTTGATGATACAGGCAGGAATTGGAATAGAGAGATGGTTGAACAGGAGTTCCTCCCTCATGAAGCAGCAGCAATACTTGCTATAAAAAATGTGGAACCTGCAAAACCAGACACCCCAGTGTGGAATTGGAATTCTAAAGGGTCATTCACAGTGGCTACTACTTACATGAAGTTAATTGAATCAGAATGGAGGAGAATGGATATTGCAGGTTCTAGTCAAAATCATAAAGAACTGAAGGCTGCAAGAAAAAGGACTTGGAACTTGAAGATCAAAAGGAAGATGAGACATTTCCTCTGGAAATGTAATCACAATATACTACCTGTCCTTACAAATCTGCAGCACAGAGGAATCTCCTTAGACCAAATATGTAAGTTCTGTGGAGAAATGGAGGAAAGCCAAGAACATTTATTCTTTCACTGCAGCAGAGCCAACTGATATGGAAATTAGCACCTATTGCATGGGATGGCCTTCATTCACATACTAGCTCATTCAAATACTGGTGGATCAAACTTTGTGGTATTCACAAAGATAAAAGCACTGAGGATAGAGTGCAACTCACCAGTTACATTCTATGGTGGATGTGGAAGACGAGAAACCTTTGGGTGTTCCAAGAGGTGTATAGATCAGAGAGAGACACTGTTAACCTGGCTTTGGCAGAATGGCAGGAGTCTTCTCTTTTGGTTAGCTAACCTGACTTTCTGGCAGCTGTTGATGCAGGCTTCTTTGCTCGGTTCTTTTGTATTTTGGATTTCTTTTAGCTTTTTTGGTTTCTGGCTTTTTCTTTTTGGGCTTGATTCTTGTTGTTTTGTAGGTTTTGATAGCTAGTTGAGTCCATGTCTGGTTCAGGGGCTAGCTATTTTTGGAATTGCTATTCTAACTCTCTTAGTTTGATAGCGGGAGATAAGGATGGCTCACGGGTGTCTAGTGTTGCCTATGCCGTGAGCCTCCTGTATCTCTGGTTGGTAGGCAAGAAGTGGTGGGTTCTTCATTCCCTTTTTTCGGGTTGTATGGGCTTCGGCCTTCGAACTGATTTCGTATCTATGAGTTATAAATTCTGTCGTTTCGAAAAAA